TGGATACCTGGGCCTACCTGAAGGTTGTTTGGCTAAGTTGTGATGCTGAAGGTACGAAGGGATCGGCTTGTTTCTGTGAACTTCAGTGCCCTTCTGAAGCCTTTGTTGGAGCCAGATAATAGGGCCATTTCGCCCCTACATTTTTTGTAGCCTCTATGTACAATTGTGGAAAGACAAATGGGGTGGAATGACTGTTTCTAGATCCTGTTTTATCTGTCACTATTGACAATTCAGGCAAGAATAAAGCTTTTTTTGGAGGGACAGAGAAAAATCTTCAGACTAGTAGGCTTTTCTAGAAAGTAAAACGAATGAAAATATGCTTTGTCCTATCTAGGACATATCTCCAAGGAATACAACTAATAGCCTTTTTCTTATTCTGTGTTCTGCTTGAAAGCATTTAGGTAAAAACTCAGTAATTTGTAGTATTGCCCTTGGGATTGTGAAGGGACTAGGTTGGGCAATAGTGGTGCTTGCTTTCATGCTGGAACAGTATAGATAATTATTATTTTTTCCTCACATGTAGAGAACACTGTGAATGCTTCTTAGTTTTTGTCTTTAAGGTAGTTAAGAGAACCATTTCTACATAACTTCTCAAAGCCTCAATCCCCTACCATTTTGACTGTTTGCGGGCAGGGTTAGTAACTCTGGATTCTCCTGCCTTATTGCACTTTCTAAGGTTTGACAGTTCAGTAACAGTTGTGGAGTTGCACCTTACCCCTTTATCCTTGTCTCATCCTTCTGGTGCCACAACAGGACTACACTACTTCTGTTCTCTCAAGTCATCAACCATATGTTCATGACAGAATAGAATTTATTGACCTCCAGTAAGTTTTTGTTATGCTAAAGGGGTATGTATGTTTTGTTTTTTTTTAAGAAAAAATGCAGTTTGGACAGGGGGTAAAATTAGTTGCTGTTGATTTGGGTTTTCAGGTTTAATGTTAGAAATCCACTTGCAAGGAATGATACTTTGAGAGTTGGTGATGTTTGATAGCTGGTTGGAATAACAGTCTACTGCTAACTTACTGGACTAGGAAATACTTAAGTTTTGCAGGAGTAATGCAAGGTGTCATTCCAGATGTGCACCTTTGCACAAAAGCTATCTTTAGTTGCTCTCCTAACGTTTATTTTCATATTTGATGAAGGTTTTGGAGCATGAGTCCTAGAGATTCTGCTTCCACTGGGAGCTGTAGTAGTATAACTAGTAATTGCATGCTGTCTTTCAGCCATCCACATAGTGTGCTTGACTCTTACCTCAGTGGGGGTACCACGAATGACAAAAGGAGCTTATTGAGACTGTCAGCAGTGGGCCGACTTGAAGGACCCTCGTCTGTGCTATGGGCTCTTACATGCTCCAGGCTGAATTAAATAGCTTAATTGTGTGGTATAATAAATGCTGATTAAACAGCAACTACTTTGCAGTTGTCAACATGGCCACTGGTTCATGGTGTACAGGCTCAGTAATTCCTTATCCGTCCCCAGAGGAATGATAGCACTTCAGTTCTTAAATTCTAAGGTGAAAAATGCATGTTAAACATTCCCGTTGCCCTTACAGTCCAGTACAGCACATATGCCAAATTAAATTGGAGTTTAGAAAAGGGGTTAGTGTGTTTAGAAAGGTGAAGAAAAGTAAGTAGTTTGTGCATTAATGCATAACTAAGTCTGTGAAAATGAACAAGCTAATTCAGTACAACATACCTTTACAGAAAAAAACCAAAACTTATCTAAAGTTGGAGGGTTTTTGTTTTTGTTTTTTTTCTAAGCTACCCATGAGGGTGAGCTGGCCGGTCTGCCTTGAAGAAGCATTGTCAAAGTAAAGCAAAGATTGTAACTGCAAATAAAACTTTCTTTGCAAAATAACTTGCAGCGTAACACGTTCCCTCTGGGAGCATAAATCGCGCGGTTTGCCGTCCCAGGCCTGTTCCGGTGCATTTGTGCGCCCAGCAGGGGTGTGCGTTTTTCCCGAGGAGGCTGGCTGGCAGCACGCCGCGGGAGCGCTGCTCTCCGTGCCTTCCCTTCCCTCTCGCTTCCCGCCGCACTCCTCCCGCGCGCCGCCGGGGGGCGGGGCCTGCCGGGGGGCGGGGCCGCCCGCGGGAGCTGTCCCTTCAGCA